AAGTAACATAACAGTAAGGCAACAAGCCAAACCGTGGATGTCTTCACTCTGTGCCATACCCTGCGATGCAACAATTCTAGTGTATATGAGTGTGTAACTGATAGTGTAAGTGTGATACAACAAACCATTTATGTGCATTACTATAATATTTATATCAATGGGAAGAACGTTTGTGCAATACTGTGTTTGTCCAAATGTCCTGTTACTTTTATAAAAAACTGAAGAAAACTTGTCTCATTTCCATTAACATAAGAGCAAATTACCAGCTATCCTGTAGATACGAGTAGTACAAAACCACCTTTCATTTTTGCACCTGATTGAGAATTTTGATTCTCCGTCGCTAATAGAAATATTGAATACTAACTTTCTTGCACGATGCGATATTAAAAATTAGAATTATTCCAAAATAATGGAAAATTCGGCAGAGCTAGACGGCAACAGAATCAGTGGTGGACAATTACTAAGTAGTCGAATATTTTGAGATGCCTGCAGAAACAAAAGCAAATGAGTGTTGAAAGAACACGCATAAATTCACTTTTAAAATTATTTCAAATACTAAGCAAAAAACATTATATCCAAAACATAACTAGTGCAACTTCAATAGCACATACTTTCTCGCATTACAAACGATTACGAAATGTTATAATACTGAAATTTCTGACTGTACTAACACATCTCGGTCATCCCCTGTAAATCTTCTCGCAATCATCCAGATGTTAACTCAGCCTCGGTGGCAATAACAAGAACACTACCAATAGACATCTTTTCAAAAACTTACAACAGCACTTACCTTTTCGTTTATCTCTAACAGATAATGTTCGATTTATATTGCAAATTTTAATCCAATGAACTTTTCTGCTAAAACGTGAAAGGCTCTTTGCCAAAAGATGCGCGATAAATTTTGTTCACACTGATATTTGAGAAAAGTTTACAAAAAAATAACAAAAAACAGCTGTATATGAAATGATTTTCGTACAAATTCTGCATGAAAAAATTTAAAGATCTAATATTGAGAAAGATGTTGCACTGATTGTGGAAAGGAAAGCACTATTGAAGGCTTGAGACAGCTTCGACACTTAAACTTTTTCGTTATTAAACTCAATATTGGCAAAACTTCTCGTATTTACAAAAAAGTACATGGCTTTATTGAACGACCTAATTTTGAAGGTTAGATTTCATTACAGTGGTGTTATTAAAAAGGAAGCCAGCGTCGCTCGCCGAAACGCTTAACTACGCTCCGACAAGTAACGGAAGTTAAGCAATTCCAGATCGCAGGTTTCTGGATGGGTGACCGTCTGGGAAGTACTGCGCCAAGCCCTTGGTAGAAGAAATCAAAGACAATGACTCACTACGACTGCGGATGATTGACTAGATGACAAGGTTTATTGCACTACGCATTAGACGCCAGTCGTTGGCTAAAATAGAAAGTTGCGAATTGACATACAAGAACTTTTAAATAACCCCGTCTTTCTCATACTAGACATCTAGAGATTTTTCTTATCTCATCAGTCTAGGCAAGTTTTTTTGGTTTTACCCCTGAAAAACGTCTCAAATATTCATCGCTGCTTTGTATGGCAACGGCTCGTATAGTATATAATATTAAATTAAAGAAATAAAAGTTCGTATAAAATACTTTTATGTTACATTAAATTGTATTTTAAGAGAGAGAATCTAATTGGGCTAATTTCAATTGTTTGCGCATTATTGGAAAGAAAATACATCATTACATTGTGAATACAAGTAGTAGAAGAAAGTAAAAATTTAATTAATATTGGGATTATCAACAATAAATTATAATTAAAATAACATAATTCTTCATACGATTCTTATGTTTTTTCTTTTCTCCGAGAATTTTTCCCGGGGCTAATAATCGGTGGGACACCCGTATGTATTTCATTAATTCAAGCAGAAATTACGCGAAAACTACTCGTTTTTTTTCTCAAAGAAAAGTACATGACCTTAATTACGAAAAATTACGCAAAAACTAATTGTTTTTCTGAAAATTCTCCATTTCTTTTTTAAAGAGTAGATTTTTCATTCCCCGCAGTTACTTCGAAAGAGAAAGTTTTGTAATCGTGCGCCGGAAAAACTCTATTGCAGGGCCCTGGTAACAAAAAACTGGAGAACTCCTATTGCTATATACAGTATATATAATAGTAAGTTATTTCCTTTACCTCTTGGTGCAGCCAGAATCCGTTTGGAGGGTCCTTGATACGGAAAATCGGTTGACGGCAAAACGCCTCTGTCCGTCCGTCCGTGGTCAACGCTAACGCCGTGACAGTTCAGTCGGTTTTCTCCAAAACTGATGTTCTCTAATAGTTTACAAATAAGTCGCTTTGGGGGTTTCAATAGGATAATTTGATTTTTTAGAGTGCTTAACATGAAGCTTCAAAATAATTTTCCAAACTGTCTACAGAATGGCCTCAATTTTTTTTATTAAACTTTGTCATATTACAAAAGTGCAATTTTTTGAGCGAACGATTACAATAGAGACAGATATTTGTTTCTTAATGAAATCTATTCTTTTAAAAACATCTTGAAATATGGTCATTTTCAATGTTTCGAAAATATGAGACGTTTTCGTGAAACTTTAATGGCAATTTAATGTTTTTAAATATTTTTTTTCTCAAACACCGCTCCTCATTTTTCTCTTTAACGTTTCTCATATGCATAAAAGGGTGTTAAAAATATGGTGCTAGTCACATTTTCAATAAACTCCCGGTTTTTGGAAATTTGAAAAAAATTAACATTTGAAAACTACAAAATTGAAGATTCGAGATCTTGCCCTCAACGTCAGTTCTAAAAAATAAGCTCATTAAAAAAGGCCTAACTCGTGCCGACACTTAAAAATGCAAGTGTCTCATTTTTTTCATCACGCAATTTTTGTAATTTTCGAAAAAAAAAAAAAGAATTCGTCGAAAATGGGACCATATTTTTTACCATCCATTGCTACACATATGAGTATTTAATAAAAAAATGAGGTTTTGGAGAATTTTTTTAATTGCATATATTTCATACACTAATTTCGCGAAATCTACTCGTTTTTTCCAAAAAGTTTATATTTCTAAATAGCTGAATTTTTAGAACAGACGTTACCAAGAGCAAAAATCTCTGTAATACTAATTCGATAATGGTAACAAACGAAACTAGTGGATAAAGAAGGGTATACCTGCTAGCGGTAGGTACCAGAAACGAGCGACGGCAGGAGCGTTTTCTAATTTACCACGTATACAATTACAACCCTTTTATTCATGTGATATGTTCAATATTATGTGCCCATTTTATTGAAGATATAAATATTAGAGAAAGAACGGGTAATATCGACAAAAGTAGTTTAGGGCACTGCTGCTGGAACGTGTCACACAGTCAGTGTGTTCTTGGAGACGAAATACCCTGAAGAGCCAAAAAAACTGGAACACCTGACTAATATCCTGTGGCATTGACTCGACTAATGTCTAAAAGTAGTGCTGGGGGTAATTGACACCATGAATCCTGCAGGGCAGTGCATAAACTCGTAAGAGTACGAGGGGTGGAGATCTTATTTGAACAGCACGTTGCAGGGCATCTCAGATATGCGCAATAATGTTCATGTCTGGGGATTTTGGTGGCCAGTGGAAGTGTTCCTGGAGCCACTCCGTAGCAATTCTGGACGTGTGTGCTGTCGCATTCTCCTGCTGGAAATACCTACGTCCGTCAGGGATGCACAATGGACATGAATGGGTGCAGGAGATTAGACAGGATGCTTACGCGCGTGTCACCTGTCAGAATCGTATCTAGACGCATCACGGATCCCATGACACTCCCATTGTACACCAGAGAGTATATTACACGCCCCACACCATCACAGAGCCTCCACCAGCTTGAACTGTCCCTTGTTTACATGCAGGGTCCATGGATTTAAGAGGTTGCCGCCATACTCGTCCAACCACTCGAAACAATGTGAAGCGAGCCTCGTCAGACCAGGAAACGTGTTTTCAGTCATCAATGGTAGATTTTCGGTGTTGACGGGCTCAGGCGAGGCGTCAAGCTTTGTGTCGTGAAGTCATTAATGATACGAGCGGGACTTCGGGCGGAACTAACATTTTTTTCAATAGTAATGACAAATATTATATTGTCTTTAGTATTCAAATTTTAAGATGTACGTTTCCTCAATATTACTAATTTCATTCGGTTTTCTTGCCAGTTAGATGGGTACGTTCACATAATAATCAATACAATATTTAATGTTCGTGTTATTTATCACTTAGGGAAAATTCTCTTATAGTACATTATTTAATTTCCATTACAACAAAACAGTTTTATGAAAGAAAAATTAACTTTTAACTTGTGTGTTCACACATCATCACAAATGTTAAGATATACATTATTTTCTTATCTTGCAGCAACCACTATATTACGTTTCGTACTTTCATATTCCTTCACTTTTCAATTATTTTAAGGTATTAAGATGTGGTATAGGTGGTGCATATTTAAAAATTTGTGAGGAAGCTTGAATTCATAGTCACAAGGTACAGAGGATATTAAGATACAGTGTGTGGTGCTTATTTAAAAACGTTTGGTGTAAAAAAAAAAAAAACAATTCATGGCCATACAAAACAGAGGGTATTAAGATACAGTATATGTGATTACTTAAAAACTGTGGTCACTTGGCGTTTTCTTGAGTTCCATAATCCCTTCCTGTCATTATAACTATAAATAATTGAGAGATGAGTAAATGTGATAAATAAATAAAGATATTGTCAGGTATCAATATTTTAATTCAACTTATGATCAATTAAAATATTGATACCTGACAATATCTTTATTTATTTATCATAATAAAACAGGTATCTACTTCACCAACAATCCAATTAATGAGTAAATGTTTAACATAAAATAAATTTTAAAATCGCAAGATCAGCAATATTTCAAAAATTATAATTTTCGTTATAGAAAACTTATTTGCAGTGGTGCACGAATTGCAAGTTTGACAAAATAGCAGACTTGCCCTTACCTCTACTCTTACCATTACTAGCAAAAGGAGAGTTCAACAAAACGTGTGCATAGTGAAGCTACATTTATGTCCATTTATGATTAAAAAAAAGGTTGGCGTTGCAATTCTGGCTTCAGCATCGAAACAAAGCGAAACGTGTCAATTTTTAGGTCTGGCAACATTTCTGCATCTTTTCGCAGGGTTTATTTTTTCTGGGCAGGGCGCCGCCATTGAGCCCTTAAGGAGCAGCCGTAACTAAGGACAAGTGGACGAGGTCTATACTCACTTCGCCTTTGATCGGGTAGATCGAAATACCCTAAGAGTCCAAACTCAAGTTTGCGCTGAGACTTCTGGCCTGGTTTCAGACTTGAAGAGTGAGAAAAGTTTCTCCTAATGGTAGTAACTCGATATATTGTTCCCTCAGGTTCTCCATAAGGCTCCCATTTCTGCCCTTTATTTAACATCTTTAATAATGACCTAACTAAAGTTATCGAACACATCTTTTGTTCCTTATTAGGCAACCTAGCATTTTCTTGGCTTTGCTACACATCAGTTCCATGTGCAAATTTGAAATCCAAACAAGCATCAAATGCCACACCAAGATATACTTTTGAAACTTTGTGCAAGCCACATAAAAAAAGTTTAACTAAAGTTTGTTTTTCATCGCTTTCTGGACAGATTATCAAATTTAGACTTTCCATGCCCAAGTAAAAATCAGAATTGAATGAAGGAGTGAATGTTATTACAAAGGCATCTACATGAGGCACCTGCAACGGTTAATCTGTCTCTGGTAAGAACTATGACCACAAGGGGTGACCATCCCAAAAACGCGAGTGGAGGCCACATATCGGCACATCAGAGCAGCAATTTGTGCAAAACGCATCAAAAGCGCACAAGAGCATCATTTGCACGAGCATGATTCAGAAATGGGTAAAGAACATAACACGGTTTCTTGAAAGAAAAGTGTTTTATGAATCACCGTTACACTTTCACACCATTATTTCATATATCATCATCTGATTGCCTTTTTTGGTGCAGGTGAGTGAACAAATCAATTGTAGATTGCATGGTGAGTAGTCATGGGAACAGGGAAGTGCTGTTAAGGGCCGTTCTATGAATATTAGGTCCTGCCCCCATATTCCTATCAACACTATTGGCCTTCCCTGAATTGAAAATTTAGCAATTGATTCTTTACCAAATGAAGCAGGTTTTCATCTTCTTTTTTTTTTTTTATTATAATAATATCAAGACATCCTTCTATTTAATAATATCAACACACCTTTTGCACGGAAGTTATTTTAATAACATATATATTGCAACACAAAGTCGTTTGCAATATTCCTTAGCCACATATACAACTGAACAAGGTAATAATCACCGAGAATCATGATTAGCCTTAAATGTGTGTACCCAACTATAATAACATAAAAGATCTTATTTCACTTACTTTATATAGGATTTATTTGATTCACTTCACAAAATGTTTGACCAGGGTCTTTACAATCATTTAGGGGAGAATAAAAAAAAATAAAAATTAAGGAGTAGATTTCCCTTCCTTGGCATTCTGAAGAGCTTGCGTGATGTACAATTTAGCCAAAGACTGAGAACAAAACTGTGATATATGTTGACTGTAAGTCTGGATTTGTCCAGATACAATCATGGGATTCAACCGTTGTGGAGCTGGAATGGGCCGGAACAATTTGTTGATATCATCATCAGGAAGAGGCGATTCATTCTTCGCTTTACGAGCAGCATTCTCCGACTCCTGATATAAATAAGAACATGTTTCTTAAGAAAATACCAGATGTAATATGAACATAAATTTAACCAATCAACTTTCCTACACCTTTAAATGCGCAATGCTCATGTCTACTTATAAATAGTAAGAACAAACAAAAGGGATTCAATTTGAAGGGAAGGCAAATAAATAATTTGACATCAAATAAGTATATTACTTACCCTTTTAACCAAAAATCGATTCTTATCTTGCTGTTGTCTAAGGACTTGCTGTTGATACCTATTAAATTTGATAGCTTCTTGATTTAATTCATCAACCCGATCCATCAAACAACGCAATTGATTTTCAAGGACAGACCTATAAAAGAATTTGCATGTTATTTTGCTTGGTTCTATTAATCCGTTCAAGGCCGAACCTTTTTTTGAAATTTTTGTAGTCACTGGGCAGAGTTAATTTCAGTGGCACACCACAGCATCAAATAATATATCATAGAATATAATACATTAAATAATGATTAATATATAAAATAATAATTATATTGAATTGAATTAATGCCTTATTTTACGTGGCGAGACTTGGGCCATTGGGCACGCTCTTCTGTCTGACCAAGTCAAGCTACGCTCCTTTCACCAACTAGCAGAGGAAGGAGGTATTTCTTGGGCGAGAAACATGCGATTTTGAATTTAGCTCAGAGCCGTCATTTAGGCTTGATCTTTTACAAGCAAGTAAATCTACTAACATGGAACAGATGGCTTGACTTACCCTCCGAAGGAAGGCGTACAAAGGATTTTTTCACCCTTAAAAATACACACTTCGATCAGGTTTGAACTCGCCAACTTGGGTATACCAGTCCGATATGCTAACCGTTACACCATTGCCGCGCGCAAAGGCTTTGGCTTACATAAATTGTTTCCTTCAATTTTCCAAGGTAGTACTTTTACTATTTGTTTGCAATTAATTAATTTGTATGAAAAAATATTAAAAATGAAATGTTAATATGATTTTGTGTGATAACTTCGACTTCTTTCAATAATTACGTCACCATCCATGCCACCAATGTCACCAGTTTCATCATTATGTAATTCATCACTGTCATTCAAAATAACTTCACTCGCCCAGCAAACTCTTTAGATTCCACAAATATTTCATTTTGAAAGTCTTGCAGCAGCCATGATAGCAGTGAACAGCATGATCCCACGTGTAAACAAAACCATTCGAAGAGAAACTAACATTGAAGGAAAATAATCCGTATTGAGCAAGGAACGTCTGCAAGATTCAGATCACATTCCATAATAAAGACATGATAGACATGTATTGGGAAAATGTGGAAATACAACAACAAAAGACGGGCAGTGTCTGTCTTCGGTCAGAACGACATGGCAATGCAAAGGGCCGACAAGGCTGAGTTTGGCCTTGAACAGGTTAATGAAGACAATAAAAGGTTCAAAACAAACACTTACGCTGTTCCTAAATCTAAAAACTTGCTCCCTTCCTCTTCAGGAATCATTTCACTAAGCTCCAGGAGCATTATATTTGTTAAATGAGAATTTTTTATCACAATTGGCACTTCCACAAATAAAGTCTCATAACCAACTTTCAAATTTCGCAAATTTTCAGGGGCAAATTCATTTTCTTTATACATTTGAATAGCTTGTGGTGTAAGGCGATAGGCTTTTAATGATAGAAATCCACGTGTTGTTTTCTGTGTATCTGTAAAGGATTCAAAAAATATTGAAAAATAACTTCTATAGCAAACAATAATAACTACTCATATTTGATTACTATGTGTTTACCATAAATGACAACAACAGATTCTTCTATTGATGTCTGGTAATGAAACTGTGATTCCAAGAGAGGTACATTAAGAAAGTTCCCCACATCAGCACTTTGATACCATCCAACATGGAAATGATCAACATTGACACGTCGCAACTGCCTCATCATTGTAAGCTGATACTCCTCTAGAAAATAATAAATAAGTCATAAATTATTAAATAGCAAATACAGAATAATCATCGTATAGTTTATGCCATACCTTCATCCATGGTATCATCATTATGTTTTGGAAATGGAAAACAATTTGTTATTTCCAATCTAGTATCCACCACCAAGCCAAGTAAGGCTCCTTGTGCAATTTCTAAATTACGAGTCGCCTCTTCATGACTGTGTTTGATCATCTTCATCACAGCCTATTAAAAACAGACATTGAGAATTCATTCAATTTAAATTCTACACAAATTGAAGCAGAATATTACAACACTTACGATAGATTCAAGTGCAAACAGAACCAGACTTTTCAAGTATTGTTGGAAAATGCAATGTGATATCAATATGTTGCAAGCAAATGGGAAACACCACAAAGTATGTGTGAAATATCTTTGTCATTCTTTGAAAAATTAACTGCGAGTTTTTGTAACCATTTGGAATATTGAGAGAAAGCTACTCCTCTCTCATAAAACCAATAATTTCAATTTTGCCCAAAATGTGAGGTAGTATTATGTACATGCAAACACTCCACGAGTTATATTTTCAAAAGAGAGCTACAAAGGAAAACAATGTCCCCTCCCTTGAAAACAGAGAAAAAGCTGATTAACCAGGTATTAATGTACAAAAATAATCTACTTGGCAGCCCTATCTAAACGGTCTGCCTCATGGACAAAGCCCTGCATTGCAGATTGGCTCTAAATTACAGTGGGTAACAAAAGATGCATTTATAGGTCAAAATCCTCTCCTTCTCTGTTTTTCTCAGAGACACAAACGTGTTCTTGCAATATTTGGCAACAATCAATTCAACATTTCAAACATTAGTGTGGATCATACTCCACACATGTATGCACACCATCTCAAACATCCAGTATTAAATATCAAAATTAAAAAGAACACTTCAAAAACTCTGGCCACTATTTCAAACTAACTAAAATATATTATTTTTAATGTTGACATCAGGTTACACTATCAGACCACAAATATTAAACAATTAAATGTTAAAATCCAAGGATTTTGCAAAGCAATGGTAGATTTTTATTAATTGATAATTCACATACTCATTACTTAAAAATTTTGTGAATAGTAATAATAAAAGTTACTTCTTCAATAGTACTGATTATATCAATTTTTAATTTATTTGAATTGTCAGTATTCTGCTAATATTTTGGTTCTAAATAATTTCTAAGCAGTAGCCTCTCACTCATTCTGCAGCCTTGTTACTTTCTCATATATGTAGTATAGATTGGTTGATAGATTATTTTTCTAAACCTTCACCTACTTATTATTTGCACAATATGCATTTATTTTAACATCTCCACATCTAAATTTTAAAATTCATATTCACATTTGCATCATCCACCCGAGCAAATACATGAAAAAGTACACAAAGTATATAAATTCAAACAACAAAAATATATAATATTCTTGGATTTTTAGGATTTAAAAACATAAGTTTGATAAGCCACTCAGCACCAATATTTACAACCTTCTTTCCAGAAGGTCACGCAACACAAAATTTTGAATATTATATATATATAATATATATATATATATATATAATAATTATATATATATATATATATATTAGTATATATATACGTTACTATAAATTCAAATATTAAGTAAAAATTCAATAAATTAAAATTAAATATAAACATTTGATATAGCTTTTATGTACCAATAAATTGAACACTTGATGAATTGATACACTTTTTTGTATCCATAAAAGTGTTAGTTTTTTTTTTCTTTCAAAAAATGACTGCGTGGGCAACCCTTGAGTAAAAACCATTCACAGGATTTCTTTGTAAATTTCACTCAAATCAACCAAAATACTTTTTACAAAAATAACAATGGACCAATTTTCATAAATCTCTGAATTTTTCATTTATTGCAATATTTTAAAATTTTTGGTACCTTCTACTGCAGCTATCTTATTGAAGAAGAGTACTATTTTCTTAATAAAATCTGTTCCATAAAATTAGATCTTAAAAACATCACCTGTACATTTTTTTTCCAAATCCAAGAAATTTTCACATATACAGAAACAAAACTGGTTTTACAAGAAATAGAAACTAGAAAGTAACAATGAAAATTAAAAAGTATTTCCATATTTAACCAACAAACAAATGTAAATAACATAATTAAGACTTAACTTATTAAGATTTCTGACAGGTGTAACATATAAACATTCATAAATGGTTTTATTGATATTTTGTCAATAATTTTTCATATCTAATGACAAATTAGTTCTCCTTAATTCTTGTCATATTACAATTGATAAGTTTTGCATTCTCTAATGAATGAGGACTTAACTGTATTCATTTCTTTCATTTACACATGAATAAATTTTTAAAAGCAATCCCTATAATAATTACAGATTAGGCACATCTGAATGAATTCATTAAATTCCTCCTAATCAGGGGCACTATCACAAAACAAATCTTTCTGTGAAAACAAACAAAGCTGTACACACAATTATTTTCCCATTATATTTAAGCCCTTTAATGAATTGCTGGGTACCTCATTGAGTGTCAAACTTGGCCAGTTTAATGATACAATACAAAACAATTTCCAACTCTGAACTGTGTGAAAGAGTACTAGATATTTACAATAAGATTTTTTGATAAAATGATAAATTCTAATTTATTTGTATAACAGGGAATACTCTTACATATGGTGAAAATAGTATATGCAATGTGGGTTAATCAACAAGAAATGTACTATTAAAGAAAGCTTTAAACTTACCAAACCATCCATCTGCACGTAGGCAATTGACGATTCATTTTCAGGCAACCTTCGCGACGGACCAGCCCAATTGTTAGCCATTTCAAAATTAATTTGTGTTGTGAATGGTTCTGTAGAACTTCTACACCAGCATACACCTTTCCACGCCAGACACGAATACCAAAGAATGTAGATATCGAACGAGTTAGCGCCCTCAGTATTCCAGAGAGTGCTAAACACCCAATTTCTACGTACCAGTCAATAACTGTAGAGCGCTCTACTGTCGTACGATGATGCCACTTCGGTACGTTACAATCTTGTTACAAAACCCGCCAAATTTAAATTACTAAAAGTAACGTTTTTGTTATAAATTAAATGTAACTAATTGGTTGATTAGTTAGAGATTACAATATTTTAATAATAGAGTGTATTAGTAAGTTAAGTTAATGAAAATCTCCAAGCTTCCACAAAACAAAGCATTACCTTTTTTTTGAAAATTAATTTACATTTTTTAACAATAGAAAAACAGCAATTTAAAATTCTTTGTGTTGTCAATGTCTGGATTAATAAAAAGGAAATCAAATTATAGTAATTTTTATAAAATTTATTGTTAAATATTTTAAAACTTCCAAAGTTAATACATTTCAATATACATTCTCTACAAAATACCCATTATCAACACAATATAAAATAACAATAGAACTGAATGTAAAATGTCTTCATATAAAAGTACCAGTGGACTGAGTCTCAGTGGGACTGAGTAGTAATTGTGGCTACACTCCAATCAATATGCTTTTGCTTTTACTTCTGTAATGACGAATGAAAGAAAAAAGACATGCAAGGATAGTTTTTAGTTTTTCGTGGGAACTGGGATAATCTAATATGCACTCCTAGACAATGTGACTTTCACCTGCTAAAACTACCCATTCATTTACCAGTTGTAATACTGTATTTAACTCGAAAAACATTTTAGGGCACATAAGAGGCTGCATGCAATTCCTTGTGCAAAAATGGCACAGGAATAAATACAGATTACTGCTTATTGAAGTGTTCTTATCCAGTTTTATAGAGTTCATCATCTCACAGTTTTGCCAGTTTTCCAGGACTGGTACCTTCCTGGGCAGGAGGACAGACCGCAGTTCAGAGCCGCTGCCTATTGAATCTTAATAATGTATTGAAGAATAACGTGTATTTCTTTCTTTATCATGAAAATGTCTAGAAACTGCAGATCTACATCAGCACAAAATTACACAAATTAAAAATGAGTTTCTGAATGCATGCAAAAAAGGGTTACCAAGAAAACAAAATTTGTATCTAGACGGATACAGGGTGATACTGATTGTTTAAATTTTATTTCACAGTACGACAAATTATTTTAAAACCTACATTAAAATATTTTATAATATTTTCTTACTTCCAAAATATTAACATCCCAAATACTAGAATTTCAAAATTTTGTCTTGTTTTTCCTTGCTGAATAATACTCTGTTGGTGAACTTCAATAAAAATTCTTACTCTCATAAAAGTTTTAAAACTATTTTCTTCACAACAGCCACTCACAAAATTGACTTATACGAGGTTGTGTAATAGCCGAGAAGAAATATTTTTCTAAACAAATCATTTTAAAACTTCTGTCATTAAGACTGCACACACTGTGACAGCTATTCACTAAAACTGGCAGAACACACACATAATTTTGAATATTTTTAAAGCATTTAACTTTCTTCCAAGAGTAACAAACTCATAAATTTGAAGGTCATTTGAATGAATTCTTTAGTTTAAAATTGCTCCGTTATTTGTAGAAGAGGGCAACACATTTTATTAAAATGAACTGATCACGAGGATAAACAAGTAACGGAAACAACTATTTCAGTTGAAGGAATGTATTTATAAGGAGGAATTATCTTCTTTTTTTTTTCCAGTCATTAGAATGAGTGAGACAAAAATCTCTTACGTTTCATAACTCGTACACAATGTGAAACTCCCCAGAACAAAACGTATACAATGTGTGTATATATGTATTATCCGCGCACGTTTAAATCAGTTAAATTACTACTATTGCTCACTATGAAATCAGTCCGTGGAGCGTTTGTCGAAGCAAAATAGTTTTTGTTACACGAGAGCGAACATTTCTGATTATCAGATATTGTAAACAACCCTAATTGCTATTAATGATGCATATTTCAAGTTCAGTTAGAAAAGGAGTGAGGGAAGGTACTTCGGAGTTCAAGAAAACTTGCGGGTATAATATATTATTACGTAAATAGCTGTTATACAAATTGTATACATTAAAAAGATGTGTTTATTGCAAAATATAAATATCGTCCTACACAATTAATATTTTTCGAATTCCTTTAATTTACATACCTCATATATCTTTAATATGATATAATCATTATTTGAATTTGGTGCATTTTTTGTCGTTTTGGTAGTTTTTGCAGTACTATCTAGAGGGAAATGCTTTACACCGTCTGTCATCACTAATCGGAACTTCTCTATACTAGGATTTATTTATTCGTGCAGTTCGTGCACTTGACTCAAATTAGCTGTTCACAGTTTCATCTAATTAAAAGCTTGAACGTCACTGTAGCGAATTAAGCTGCCGATTGGGTGACAGTGTAACAGCTGATTTACGTCACGTGCACGACTAAGTAAATCGTAAGACCATAGTCACTGGCTGATCACTGGTGTGCCGTGTGCCGCATACTCTCTGGCCGTACGTGGCCGTGCGCGCAGGGCGTGTGCAGGTGTGCCAGCGGCGCACAGGTGGCGCAGTTGTCATATTCCTCCGTGCTTGGCTCTGGATGTCAGCACTAATTTTTAACTGTTTTTTTAACCACTAAAACACACCAAAATGTGGAAGTCAATAGTTGTCGACCAAAAATCACTTTTTATTAAATACGAACGAGAGGAAGATTTGCATAAAGTATATTTAAGTGATACGGTGAATCTCTGGATGGAGGGACTTACATCCTCGAATTTATCGAAGAGATGTAAGGTAATTGTTAATTATTTTCGTTAAATCGTTGATGAATACATTAATGTATGGCATGCATATTAATTTACAAAGAAGGAAATGAATTCTCTCGTAGAAGCTGAACCTGAAGATTTGGCGAGGCATGTGTGCACACTTATCAGTGACAATAGGGAAGACACCTGCATTACAGGCAGTGAGGAAGGGGAGATGAGAATGATACACATTGAATCTAAGTTAGCGGGAATTCCGTTTTATTTTACGTTTAGGATGGAAATGATGAATCGTGATGAGGTATATGATGTACATGGTTTGTCTATTACTGAATTGATTTGTTTAACCTCACAGCATTATTTTATTTTGGGTTTAGTTTTGTAAACAGCTGACAACCCCTCTGATGTTGTTAGTTGTGCAACAACAAACTCGATTAGCTCAATTACAAGCCATGCTCATTGCCAAAGATTCTGAAATTGAACAGTACAAACTAGAAGGAGCAATTCTAAAAAAAAGTAAGTTTATTATTAGGATTTGTATTATATCGGAAACATTGGTAGAATGTTGTATGAATTTGTATGAACTGTCTTTTATTACTTCCAGGAAAGATGGAAACTCAGCCCTTTCTTCTGAGTGAATTAGCACAAAATGAATCTGAAAAGTTTAATTCTATTGATCCACCTAATTCTATTGACCTATTCAAGAAAATGTTTCATCTTTTACCTTCAATCTCAGCAAGTAATGAAAAAATATTAAAGAGGCATTCTTTAAATGATAAGAGGTAAGAAATTGTTTGAAGAAACCTTTTGGAAGGTAGACATTTTTTAAAAATTACTAGAGATAATCACTTGTGATAAAAGTGAAGCTTTGGTGGTGTAATGGTTAGCATATCAGGCTGTTGTACCCTATTTGGTGGGTTGTGTTGAAGGGCGAAAACATCTTTTGGATGAAAAGTAAAACCGGGTGGCCCTTATTGTAGATTTACTGCATGTGAAAGAGCAAGCCTAAATGAAGCATCTGAGCTAAATTCAAATTGCTTGTTTCATTGCCTAAGCAATATCTCCTTTCTCTGCTAAATGGTGAAAGCATAGTGGAATCTGCATAGGCAGGCTTCATGGCCTGAGCCTTGCCACAGAAAATAAGGATTGATTGATTCATAAAATGTGTTTTTATGATTTTCATCTAATATGCATCAACAGGTATTGCTTGAAACATGGGAAGATTCAATATCTATTTCTTATATTGTTTTTAGAACCGTGGACCTAATTCAATCAGAGCCTGAAGAGAAATGTGAAACCAGACACTTTATTGCTTCTACTGAAGTTACATCTGCAAAGGAAGAGAAATCATCAACTGAAGCACAAAATGTATCCGTAACTCAAGTTGGGAAAAGCAAGAAAATCAAACTACGAATTTAGAATACCTTTAATGTGATATTTTCAATTTAGTATTTGGATTATTTTATTCTTCTATGCAATGTCACATATTATATCAATAAAGCAAACTATGTCACTTATAATTACTTTAGTTGTTCCTCCTGCTTCATCATACTGTTGTTTAAAATACAGAGAATTGTAAGGTCTATTTCACTTTTGGGTAATAGACAAGTGTGTGTCTCAACTGGTCAGGGATCAACCAATCGGGGCCGTCATTCATCACAAAGAATATCAATTTGAGATTACCACTAATTTCATTAATTTTCTTATGGGATAAAAGTAATCTAGTTCCAGTGAGTTTCATTCTGTTGTGTGCGCTGTGTTTGAACTAATTCCATTTGTAATTCAGGAGCACTGGAAAAAAACTTTTTTACACTTGCCGCAGCTGTAACATAAAAGTTTCAAAAAGGCGTTACAAGCGCAAGAAGTTATTGGAAGTGCCAAACACCTTCTGAAACCATATTTACAATTCAACAAACATATTACATATTCAGAAGTATTAAGAGGTATTTTCTTGAATTCAAAGTTGGCTACATATTTACATTTACATTTTCTTGTATGTATTAATATGAATGTACTTGATAAAGAACTTCAATGCCTTGATCACTCCTGATGACTAAATTGTGTGAGAAATTACTTGCCTTATTTGTGTTAAGTATAAACATACATTCCATTGTAGATTTCAACTGATTCTTGGTTTGATGTAAGTTGCAGAGAGCGCAATGCATTGCACCCTTTTTTGGGACATGGCCAGATGTAGTTTGCTTACTCACAATACACCGTGCAGTTGTACAAGGAATATAACTTACTTTGCGTAATGCATAAATGCGTATTGCTGGATGACTTTATGCTGTGGATAATAATTAAACAATTTATACTGTTGAACATAATTTTCACATTTTATTCATATAGTACATGTGGTAAAACTTTGTTAGAAATCATTCCCGGCAAAAAAAAACAACAAAAAACAACTGTAATCAATAAGAAACAGATCTTTATTTCATGAAGAGAGGTTTACCATTGATGAAATTGTTGCTTATTTAGAAGATGAAGTCAGTAAAAAATGAATATTTTGAGGAAAACTATTTTTTAGCATGTCCATTATCCCTCTGTTCAACTGACAGATGAAGATACTCTAATTATTATTACCAAATCAGAAATACAAGGTGTAAGAGGACATTTGAACTGACTATGGATATTGGTAGAAAAGAACATCCCACAGAGAAACCAGAATTACTTTTGGATCAAAATCAAATAATCCAACCCCCCTCATGGAAGTAACATCCAATGTACACTGAAAATAACACCCCATCTTTGTCTATTCCATTGTTTAAAAATAAAGTGAAACACCTTTTTATTAATGTGTAGAAATTAATTTTTAAATAAAATATCATTATTGTTGCTATTTTCCTTTTCTAAGTATTCTTTTTTTCAAAATTTGTAACAAAGATGTATTAATTACATTTCCAATAAACACTCCAATACTGATAAATAGGAATTTGCATGGGTCAGATGTACCAAAAATGGGACGCCCTTCTAAAAAAACTTTGAGATCTAACTTAAAATGAAATTTTGAAGCATCAGCAGTCAGATAGTTACTTTTTATCCACTCACAGAGTTGTGGCCCTTAATGAGTTAAAGGACAGAACCAAGGTTTGCGAAATAAGAACAATTGTAAACCCCCAAAAATTTAATGAGATATTAATATTTTTACTTAACCATTTACATACATAAATACAGAGTATAGGGAAAGTTATGTAATGCTGCGGAAAATCGATATAGAGATTTTCACGGAAATACACGTTTTGAGTTCCCTGATACCGCAAAAGTGGTTTTAATCAAAATGTCTGTCTGTGAACACTGCATCAAATGTAATGTAATGCTACACAAAAAAACTGCAGACTTTTGGCAGAAAAAGATTCATTGCCGGCCCCTGATAACAAAAAAGTGGATAAAATCAGTTGCTAAATAAAGAAAAAGTAGTGGTGCTACTAAAGAACACACTTTCTAGCAATATATCTAAACGCTCCATAATTTATTGATTTGCATATTGTATTGAACAATTGATTTGATGTGATATACATTTTAAAAATAGAACAAGAGCCAAAACAATATTGTTGGCAATGACAACTCACATAATTATTTCTTTGTAACTACCAGTGAAAACTCACCACAATACCAATGGAACAAAAGAGTTGTACACTTGTTTAAAGTTTCAAAATACAAAAATGACATACACTCAGTTTATTTCAAATCTTAACAGATTGTCTATGTGAGTAGAATTGTTTCAAATGATTTTCAATAGTTTATGAAAATTTCAATAGTTTTCAGCACCTACAATTATCAACATGACAGCCATGAACCAGAGGCCCTCCGAAACGCGGACTCCGAATCTGACTTTAATCACTTCAGCCAACTCGCGTATTATTTATTTTTTCACACCCTTGCCATGAGCGATTCCACTCTGAACACGTAATGGGAGTAATGATAAATGGAAAATAATAGTAATAAAATACAGAGTTAAGCCGGAGCAGGTGAAAACAAATGGCTTTATTTTTTTCAAATACATTAGTAAAATTTGAAGTAAGAGAGGAATCGTGGGTCGCACGTGAAAACTGGATGAAAAATTCGAATGACATTGGATCATTCTACAAGCTAACTACAAGACATATTCAGGAATAATATTTTCGTGTCATTTACTACCCCCGACCCAACCTTTTATTAAGACTTTGTGAACTCTGAGTAGTGTTTTAGGATGAAAAAACGTATAAAGATCTCTTTATGGGGGGAATCACACACGTGACTTCCGAGCCAATAAGAAGTTCCGTGTATTAAGTTCACTATGGGCTATGAGTCACATATTTAATATCCTTTTGTGTAGTTAAAACAGTTGTCTTTAATTGTAACTTTTTACATGACTTTTAGACATGCTATGAAGTCAAAAAAATTAACACAAAATCAGATTTTCTTTCAAACTGTCTATTGTTCCAAAATGTCTACTCTATTTTCTCCATGCTGCGTGTTATATCTTGCACAAATATTGACAACAATAAAACTGGGTTAATTTATAAGTTCATATTTTTTTAAGAAAATTGAGTAATCCTTTCACATTGTACTTCAGAATGAAACTATAAAACATTTTTGTTCTATAATGTATGTGTTGTCCAAAGTGTTTATGTTAAAAAAACTTAAGTCTTACGAACACTTTTTGCTGAAAGCAGCTTTACGCGCTTTTCAATTAAAAAATTATTTTGTCCTTCTTGAACACTATTACAAGAAAATATTTTATAATTTTATTTTCCCAACAATGAAACAAAGTTGCAAAAAGTTTGCAGTATTTTTAATGACATCATGACAACTCATTCAAATTGATACTAGTACTGGCCATAAAACTAAGTAGTCCTGACCCATTTCTTGTTGATACACCTTTCCTATTCTTCAGATCTTCTGCACAAGATCATATTTACTGCAAATAAGTACATCCTAATAACTTGAAAGAGGTTTAGTCAAGGAGAAGAAATTAATAATACATAATGTTTTTCACAGAATTGTAATTAACTGTAATTTTACATTGTTCAATCATAATAAAATCCAATAACAACAAAATACAACTGTCAATTTCACCGGACTCTCAAAATAAATACCCACCACCCAAGCAAGAGATGGCAACAAACTTATTGGCACTTTGAAAACTTTTATAAGCAAACAGGTGTTTAGCATGTGGAAAAAGTCTTATTAAGTGAAATTCATTAGCAATTTGGATGCTTTCAAACAATGCTAGTTCCTAAAGTACCAAAATGCAATTCAGCCCCAACATAATGACAAATTTAAGACTTACTTGTTTAGTTACTGAACTAGCATTTTCATTCTTTATTTACCTATTAAAAGTTGCAATAATCTCTTTTCATTTTTCAATAATCCTCCATTTGTTTCTTATTTTGGTACTGCACATTCAGGTACAACAAAAATCGGCCATTTTAACATTAGGAATTTATAATAAAATTGCATAAACATATTTCCTCTCTTGTCATGTTATTTGTAACAAGGCCTTCCCTTCTTTACAGAATTAAAACCTCTTTTGTATTGCTGTTGACTATAACATATACATTTACAAGTATTGGTAACTCAATTTTTTACAAATATTTTACTGGTAGTAACTTTAACATTTTACAAAATGACATTCTTTCACTGCTAATTTAGAAACAAATAAATGTATTATGTAGAGTAACTAATATAAAATAAATTTAATTTTACATTTTGACTAGTAACGGTATTGGATACAAAGAAGTAAAATAACCTACATTATGACTATCTTGTGTGGAACATTGCACAAGACAAACTGAGCAAAAGACAGCAGCCGGTTGAAGGCTACAACTGGCCATAAACAACAGTCTCTTATTCTCAGTTCATCGTTTTTTGTTTTTTTTTCTTTAAAAAAATTATATATGTATAAATTTCTTTAAAAAAAGAAAGAAAGAAAACAAGGGTGCTTTGGTAGAAAACCTACTTGTAGCACTGGAAGGGATAAAAAATACATATTAGCTTTGAATACAAATTAAATTGCTTTTTGTTACTGATATGGTAGCTCAATGCATACTGATATCTCTTCACACTTCCACAAAAGTGTAAAAAAATTATATATGACACAATCAACAATTTCGGAAAAAAACATCAATGAACAGTGCATTTCAATTTGTTTTACCATCATTTGTAAAAAGTTCCTCACTAATTAAAAATTTAAAAAATAATTATTTTATTAATAATTCATCAACTTCTGCAATGGTGGTTGCTCAGTTATGAAGAGGTCCTAAAATTCTAGAAGATCTTTCATTATTCTGCATCTATTTTTGGACCCAGGTGTATCAGAAGCAGAATTTGAAGTTATACACAATAGTGCCAAATAATTCTATTGTAATTAAATGATGTATGACTATTATCATTAAGAATAGCCTATTTCTTTTGATCCGGTCTTTCGTTAAGACATCGAAGTGTTCCTAATTTTGCCTTCTTAATTTACATTTGTCACACTCTTCATCCCTTTAACATATACATCAATATTTGTTTTATGTATCAGTTTCATGATCTAAGATTTCTTTTCAACTAACTGTGAATTTAATGTATATATTAAGTCTAACATGCAAGAAAACGGTTGATGCAAAGAAACTGGCAAAGACCATGTTTTACAGAATCCTTTGCTAAATGTTTTGCGGAGTAAGTGTCTTTAAAACAGTTCCGGAAATTCTTTAAATTAATTTTTGGTGAGAATTCCTTAGCCTTCAAAATCGAAATGTGTCAAATAAGTCCTGAAATAACCCGCTATTCTACTGTCTCTTTGCGGACTCCACTAAGACTACTAATTTTATGCGAATGGTCTTGGATGTCCTGGTGGCGTCGCGTTTAAGGGCATGCCGACGCGACATTTCGACCGCCTTGTGGTGTTCCTCAAGGCTGAAGTCTGTCAAGATTTTCGTCTCTCTTATATACCAGGACAAGAGTGGTTGAGGTTCGAGCCAATTAGGCAGAGCAGGGCGATAGCGATGGGCGACGTTGGGATCGGACGGCAAGGAACGGTCTGGGCGGGCGCGATCAATCAGATTGGCTAGCGCTCGAGGAACAAGAAACCACATGAAATTTGATGCTATGCTTGTGTTCACGTACGGAGCGATCAAATAAAAGGTTTCATTTTCAGCGCTCTGCTTAGACTGTAAATTGAACTCGTAGTTTAATATATATTCATGTATAAGAAATGAACTTCCTACGCATTGTTCTTTTCTGATTCAGACCAATGCTGTTTCATTTATACACAACTGTTCATTCTTTTGTGTAAATTACAAAACAAATTACCATAAAATCAGAAAAATGTGACTGCTCTTTTCAGAATCCTCATATTTGAAAAGGTTTTGATTGTTTTTCTTAAAAATAGTATAGTACTATAATATTGTAATAATACAAGTATTCTTCATGTCTTCCGGGCTGAAGGGCCGTGGTCCAATTGGCTCTGAGATGCCAAACGTTTCGCCCACGACTGTGACTGTCGTCAGTCGCCAGTCAGCCACCGTTCCGGACACTTCGCCCGAGACCTCGCCACTGAAGATGCCCACCGCAGTCGTGGGCGAAGCGTTTGGCATCTCAGAGCAAATTGGCCCACAGCCCTTCAGCCCGGAAGACATGAAGAATATTGACTCCGGCCATGAAAGCCTACAATGCTGTATGAATAATACAAGTATTTTCTCTTAACTACTGACGTACGTTATATCAAGTAAGTAAGCGCTGAATATTTATTACTTGTGAAATTATGTACCTTACTTAATAATATACCACGCTTACTATTAAAAATTATAAGAAAAAAAAATTATCGCCAAACTAAACTAATCACCAAAACTAATCGCCAAACCAAACTAATCACCAGATACATACTACACAGTTAAACAACCCAACCAAAAATATACATTACCAACCGTTTGTAATAATTATTTACCTGGAGTATTCTCTAAAGCTTACTCATTCCTATGATTCACTATTACCTAGCTAAAGAGAATACTACAGGTAATTATTAATAATTACCATTGTTATTATTATACATTGTTGGTAATTTAATAATTTTAAAAAAAATTAAATCTGTGTATTTAGTTTGTTTCTGGGTTACGTTGTTCTTTCTATTAGCAGTTGTTTTACAGCCTTGGCCATTTTCCGCATCCCATTTCCTTTCCACTTCAACCCACACGTCCTTTTCTTTCTTTTCTCTTACAAGGCATCAGTTATTGCCATGTTCCATGAACTTTATCTTCACCAATATATTCTTCGATTGGGTATTTATTTCCAATTTTGTTTTTGTGGAAGTGTTATTTGATAGCAACCTTCTTGTATGCCCATTAAATTTTGGTTGATTTCAACATCCTATTCAAGGTTGTTGACTTTCATTTTTTTAAATTTATTTCATTCTCTTATTCTGTATAACAGAAAATTCACACCGCCAGAACTGCATTTCTGCCGTCTCTCATTTCGTTGTTGAAACTGCAGAAGGTTGTCTCTCACGCTAACCGTTACACCATCGCCGCCGCATTTCCTCTTATATTTTCATTTTTACATCCTGTTTGTCTCTACCACCGGCTGTTAGAGCGAAATCCAAAGTTGTAGTTTGGAAGAACCCTCCATCACCATGGACGTTATGGAGGAATTGGGCAATCTCCAAGGCATCTTTAGCCCATCTCGGCCACCACCGGTCGTCTCAGGTGAGCACCTTGGTATCTTTGTACTGGAAGTCAATGTCGATTCAAGGTGGTCAAAACGTCAGCACCACAGCCTTCGACGGCATCACTGGGGCAGCGAGGATCATTCGCACAACTCTGGCCGAGGAGACAGACATCCTACAAATTTTTGACTTTTGTTTAAGAATTTAATTTGGTAAGTGTCCTGTCAATTATTAAGCCAATCTCTTGAAATATGTCCAATATTTCATTATTTCAAAGATACATATCTTATACACGTGTGTGTGTGTGTGTGTGCATATATATATATATGCATATGCAAATTGGGATGAAGATAAACGAAATTGAATGAATCACACTTTATGACATTCACTATAAACCATTCTTGCAAAAATGCAAAGAAGCTCAAGCACCAATTTTAATAAGAAAATGGGAATTCAAACACACTACACCGCAGAGGTTTCAGTAGCGCAGCTGTGTTAAATGCCCTGTGACGTATTGGTCTGCGCCTCTAGCGATCCGCGTGGCGATCAAGGAAAACTACGCCACCTTACCATTCGTAATACATCGTTCAGGTAAATATTCATGAAAATATCCAGAAAAGTTAGAAATCTTTAAGTAGGGGTATCTCGGAGATAACATTTATGTTTGGAGGTAATACATTTTCATCTTTCCTTTTCGGGTCTATTGGACAAGTAAAAAAACAACATAATTTGTTTCCCCCTTCATTATTGCTGCATTTACCTAATTGCAGAACCAAAGAAAACTAGAGTCGCCCCAGAGCTTTCCAACGGATCCAGCGAGTTCGCGCGGCGGCCATATTGGTACAACCCAATTCGGCTTGCCGCGTCCGGATTAAGTGTGACGAAATGCTGAATTTTATTTCGTATACATTTAGAAGAGTTTGTCGTGAGGTAAAGTGATTGTCTGCACATGTAAGTATAGTTTAGTATTTGTTTGGATAATTATCTTTAAATGAGCAATTCGTATTAAAGTGATGTTTCTTCAGTTTTCTAAAAGATCCGCATATACGCAAGAAGTGGATTGCGGCTGTGAATAGGGAAAACTGGACCCCAAACGTAGTTCTTATGTTCAGTACATTTTAAAAGTGATGATTTTCATCGCACGTCTTTGGCTGGCGTACGATTAAAGAGGTGGGGTCTGTCCCCTCAGTTTTTTCTGCTTTTCCCCAGTATTTGCAACCTCTCAGAGATCTGCACTTTTAATGTATTGTCAATATCTTTGTTTGAATAAATGGTTAAATTGTATAACATGCATGTTATTTATATTGCCCTCCAATTGATGTCAACCAACAGAATTAAAGTTATAGTTCTACATGAACATTGGGAAATATGTAATACTCAGGATAATAATATGGTAAGTTCCATCTTTTGTTATTATTTCAATATAATGTATTCAAAATTGGCTGTAATTTTAAGATAAAGGTGCCTATAAATATTATACATAAAGAAACAGGAAATTGTCAGTCACTATTACATTAAATCATATTCAATGAGGTGGCAACAAATTTTGTGACAGTTTTAAAAACTTTTTAATATAGTTCAGAATCACATAATTTTAACCCTTTTTTTCCCCATAACCCAAAGTTTGTTCAACGACGTTTCGAGGATGTGGATTTTTCCATATCTTCACTCTGCATGAGACAATTGAGGTTTTTAAAGAATATAAATAACTCGCTACTAACGCTAATATACAAAGATATAATTATAAACAAACACTAGCACTTGATGTACTTTTTATTTTACATTTTCTAAATGGCGAATCTTAATATGCAACTTTGCCTTCACTCAAAAAGGAAAACTAGGTTAATCGATGAACTATAATTCTAAATACAGACAAGAGGGCTTGTGTGCACTGATTTTATAGTGACACAATAAGGAAGAAAGATATTCTCTATTTTATTACTAGACACACTAGCCGTCAAAGAAATTTTCTTGATTGAATTTTAAGCGTAATAGATCTTGCCTGCACTGCTATTGTAATTACCCTTATTTATCATGATCTTTGCGGTGAAAATAAAGAAATAGTCGCTGTCTTACGAATAAAAAATATTACAATTTGCTTGCCTTTAACGTAACTTTCGCCAGGAGGGTTGTTCCAACATGACAGCGCGCGCAATTGTGACGGATTCATTGGCATGTGCAGAAAGAGATTGGCAGGGGAGACTATGTGTAGTGCTTTTTGTGCAGAACAGTGCACCCCCTTTCGACACATTATTAATGTATTAACAGGAAAAGTATAATAATTCAGTTTCGGCCGATACATGTTAAATGTAGTTCTATTGAATTATGTTAAATTTGGTTCTATTTAATTTACCCTTTTATATAATGACTTGCCCTTGAAATCCTAGTCAACCATGAGGGCAAGAAATCACACGAATTATTTTTTAATTGTTTAACCAGTTCTTAATAAACAAAATTTCACAAAAACATCGGTATTCTTCAGTAGCAGTTATTCGTAGTTTTACTTCACCTCCAACCAGGATCGCTAGCTGTATACGCGCGAACCCCCTAACTAGCCATAAAACGTACTAAGCTGCGCTACTATCTTGATACGTGTACTGTGTCTACACTATTGATTTTGTTAATTTGCAACATATTACGATTTTCTGAAGGTTCTATCATAAAAGAACAATCGTAAATTTTCAAAGATCTTAACTTCTTCAAACAATAGTACACAACTGGAAGGCACTGTTATTGAAAAGAAAGGCAACAAAATAAACAAAAACAGGCAATCTCCTCACTCTTAGAAGAAAATAACAGTTATAAAAAATGTCTTTTATAGATTGGGTAACAAAAAATCTGTACATTACCATAAACAATGGTGTAGATTTGTGTACAAGAAAACAAAGTGAATGAAATAATTGTGTTCTTAGCAAAGAAAGCGTGTTTTTAAATAGGAGCAAAAGCAACCCAAAATGCAACTTTAGCAGGTACACTGCAAATACATTACGTCTATTTCTTTCATTCAGCACTTAGTCAGGAAGATTAGTTGTGTTTCCAAAAGTCTCCTTGGATTGGTTTACTTGAGTCACCATTGTCCTATTGGCAATTCCTTTTGTGTCTTGAACATAATGAGATATTCCATGGGGCCGCAGGTGGTAGATCAGGTACTCCAAGACGTACATGTGATTTGGTGACACGTAATGGAAGGATATTGCGCTATCAGAGCAACACTCGAGGCCCTGAGACAAAAGGAATTAATTTACATTTAGATTATTTAAAACTACGGTCAACTAAATTTTATTAACCGTAGAACACTATAATCAATCACATTTGCTCATTTTTTCTTCCTTCATTGTACTTCTGAACTCTAGGCATTTGATGCATAACTTATAAAAAACATTCTATGGATTTCATACATTTAATGCAGTTTATAGAACATTTACCAAATTACTATTGCCTATTTGCTACACCAATGGTTTAACTAAAACTTTGGTACAATTAAATCCTTAAGTAGTATTCGAGCAACCTGCGTCTGTCCATCCGTCATTCACACTGGACTCCTGGGAAGGTACTGAATTTGTTTTCAGATCCGCCCACATGATTCTAAGATATTTAAAATATCATGTTTTTGCGTTTTTTGAACGCAGCGATCTAGTGGTGGCCGCGCAAGCCACATCAATCCAGGATATGATATGTCGCCGCTGATTACAGTGCGCAGAACAACTGCTGTCCAATACTAGTCACAATACAGGACCCTTTGAACCTTTCTCATACTATTAATGGGAGATATCTGCTCACTAGCGAACCTAGTGTCGTAATCTGGAAAATCGGTGACAAATTAAAATTTCAATACATACACAAAACTTTCAGAATTACTCTGGGACATGTAAACTAAAAATATTTCAAATTTATACACTTCGTACTAGTAATTAAAATGCTTGGGTCAGGTCAGAATTCATCTTCAATGCCAACTTGACACATTCACAGAAAATCGCTCTTGATGAGGTACACTACGAGCAACACGAGGATTTTCCTCAGCGTTCGCATGCGAATTGTGCACATTAATTGCAATGGTTTTTGTAAACCTCGCTTCACCTGACTAAAGAACGAAATTCCTGTTTCGTATTTGCGAAGGAAGTGCCTCGATAATTGAAAATGACAATTGATAATTGAAAATTATAGGTCATTAGTGCGCAAATAGAAATGGAAATGCTGATGTCGACATCTCTCCGCGTGAACTGTTCGCCATCCGAGGGACTGATTCTTGACTTCGCGCGCTATTCGCCTCGTGCTTCCGGAGCTTCTCAGATGGAATTAGCAATCGACTTTTGCAGAGAAGTGGCGACCCCGCTCGCTCGCCCACTAGTCGTAGCACGTGTTACACGCACAAGCGCATAGACCACACGTTAACGTTAATTATTTACAAACCTAAACGACGAGGAGTACTCAATTTTGGAAAATTCAGTCTGTACATAACATATGGGATAAGGTCTTGATGTTTTAGCAACGAGGAATGAATCAACCTGTATCAAATAAGACATTTGTGTCATTCATTATTACTCTCGTAAATTATAATCGCATCAATTTTCTTGCATTAACTGCAAATTACAAACAAGAAATTGAACCGCACGTTTTCAGCGAGCCTGAGCGCTTACACAGCCTTGCTACACCAGTGGCTGTCAGGGACGAGGAGGTGGGGGTGGATGACTCAATGTTAGTCAACTTTAACCGGAGAGTTGCTGGGACAAAGTTCTCAACGCGCTAGACAGATAGCGAGTTTGCAGTTCTAACGTCTCCGCCAGGTGTCTCTGTATCTTTCCGGCAGAATATAAACTGTGACGATATTTTATAAGTTGAGAATCATATTTTAGTTTCCTTGTAAGTTTCCACAAACCGAATTTATACATTATATTTGGATTAATACAAAGGAATATGCACAAGCATGTAATCACCATGAATCGCTCTTGCATTTTTTGCCCGTGGAAGTTAGCAGTTCTAAATCTCATTTTGTGGACGAGACAGATAATTCTATTTCATTGCCATGGTAGATACATACCTGCGCAATACAATGGCAGAAGATAGTTTATCAGCTCTCGCTATGCTTTCTATGAGCGTGACTTCATTACCCAAATAGCAGACGTTAATGGCCGGCGTCGCTTGACAAATCCGTTCACTACGCGCCGAGAAGTCGCACAGGTTAAGCGAATTGTGGTTGGGTGACCGGCTAGGAACCCCGGGATCTAAAGACGTCGATCCCTTGGCCCACCGCGTGATTTAGACGTGACGAGACTTAACAAAAAAAGTAAATGATGATTACTCCACGCAAGCGCTCAACGCCCAACAAGGGTTTATGAGGCATTGCGTCACCAAAGCAGCAACAAATTTAAAAAAATGAAAGTTATCACAAAATTTACTTCGAGCAAAGAACGGCGTGCCGAATTCTTTTACAAATATGTAATTACAAATGTTCTTTGTTCTAATTTTAAATGGTGAGAACTAGTGTTGTGGAAATGGGAATGTCTCCAAGAAAAGTGTGAAATTTTAAGTGCAGTGCATTTCTCAAACGTACTTATAAATTCATTGTATAACAAACTTAGCATCAGAGTGCCCCCTTAGCCACCGTGACCATGATTTTCCGTGTTGAAGGTTCTTGTTTGAAATTTCGTGGTTTCGTCGGTGAATTTAAGTGATTCCGTTCACTGGATCGACGTTGAGGCTCTGAAGTGTAGTATGCTACCAACGTTTCATAACCGGTAACAATATGATTCAAGAACCCATCACCACTCTTATCGTAACGCTCCAAACATGACAAAGAATGTGCCAAACGCTTATTTTTGTGTTCTTCTGTCAATAATTTTGGCATCCATCTCGCTCATATTTCTTTGGAATAAAGTTTGTCGGAAACAATATCATAAACAACCGATCTTGAAAGTTGTGGAAATTTATCATGAAGATCGTCAATCGTAAAGCGCCGTTTTTGGCGAATTTCCTCATCAACTTTTTTCTCGTTTCCATCAATGAGAGTGCTATTTCTACAGTCCAAATGCACATCCACCATGCGTTCCAGCACTTTGCAGACACAACTTAAGAGTGTTTTTCCTTCTTTGGGAAGTGAGATGGTGATTGCTTCTCGCCATACAGCGGGGATGGTGCGCTCCCATACACGATTGAAGAGCCGGAGAAGAAATTGCATGCCCATTTACGGAAGATGATCTAGCATTAGGTAATGAAATTCATCTGGAGTTGTTTTCTTAAGCACCAAAGAAGAGCGCATTTCACACACGGAAAATGGGCTATTGTAATTCTGTGCTCTTCTCGAAAAATTACGTTTTTCCATTCTTCCCTTACGCAAAAGAAAGCCTGAAGTACGGTTCGGCGAACTTGAAATGTGTTCATAATGGGCTGCAAGTACCTCTACAATTGCGTCTTGAGATGAAATGATCTCACCATTCTAAAGACCTGGGACTATCCTTTGATTTGAAGCATCTTACTCCATACCAGACGTGGTGGCGAATGACAATTGTGGGAAGAGACGTATGCTTTTCACAATCAATTTTTGCTTTCTAGAATGATTTTCCTCACCTTCGCTCTGCATTTCATGTAATCAATTAAGTTATCTACGGTTGGATAGTGTTTCAGGCGCGCCAACGCCTATTACGTGCCCTGCCCGCCCTTGAGCAGCCCGCGTTGCACCAAGGGACGCAGGGGTGTCGCGGTTTCCCGGGCGATTTGGGAATCGCAATACCAGCAAATTGTAGACAGCACACTTAAAATGTGCTGCCATTTCATCCACATCGTCAATGTCAGCCTCTCACTGACATTCACTTAACATTTCGGCCAGTCAGCACTTGTACGCACGAGCCCATCAATTTGCATGATAGTGGGGTATTCTTCGCTTCCAATCTATTCATCTGCAAAGAGCCAGAACGATACACGTGGCGGCGGCGAAATGCGTTGGTTCACTTCATATCCGAATTTCCCAGTTTAAGCTATTGCTGATTCCAACCTATTGCTTCTTCGGCGAGTGCGGGATGAACCCCATTGAGGACTGTGACCTTTTACATCCCCATCCCTCCATCAAGAAGAACACGGTTTATCAATTCCAAAATTTCATCGGCGGATACATGCTGTCCTGGAGGGATGTAAATATTACAGACAGTGAGCGTGAGGGATGGGAGGTGCACCTGCACTGTTTGAAGCTCGGTCTGAACTGGAGCGTCTGTAGAGAGGACGAATCGTGGATCAAGTAACAACTCCGCCATGTGCGCCGAGGTCGATCAACATCAACCCTTTACGTGGTTAAACCGCGAAACGATAGTTTCAGATCGCCCCATTGAGGAAACCATTAACATTCCTCGATAGGAGATCCATGATGGTATTTAGACATTGCTTTTCACTTTCTCGCCTTACGAATACTTCGTAAGAAAAAGGTATGTTTTTGTGAGCCAGAAAACGGCGATTGTTTTTACAGAAAAACTCTTAATGCCGAGCTCTAGCAACGAGAAAGTGGATAAATCCAGTGTCTAAATTTATAAAAAAGCCTCTAACACGTGTACCCGGAATCCATGTTGTATTGGTTCTTGATACCGAAATATCGATTGCGGCAAAACTAAGTCGGTGGTGGGGGTCGTGGGAGGTTTCTTCATATTCGGCGCATAAGGGGCTTAATGGCACGCAGCGCTGGATGGGATGGCCGAACTTGGGCATTTGCAACAGCGCAGAGGGTCCGGCACGTACTTGCGCACCTGGAGACTAAATTTACAGAAGCGAAGGGTGATCGAATGTAGGAATCAGAGCGGAAGTGGAGATTTCTTTTCCTTTTGCTGTTTGCTTGATCTTGTACACGTCTACAACACTGTTTTGAAGAATGCCATTAGTTCATCTTCATATCCAGCAGCGAAGTCCTCGTGATTTACATCATTAGTCAAATTGAAGCTAGGAAGGGTAGACACCTTAGCCGCTCGTGTTTCTAAAAGGTTTTCAATTAGGCTTCGTGCCATTTCTTTAACGAACGCTTGAAGCTTCTCAAAACACTCGTCGAAGGCGCAGGCCTAAAAAACGCTCAGTACTGATGCTTTGAAACGCACGACCTAGCCGGCCATTCAGATCACTCCTCCAGAAGAAAACGCAACTTGGTCGGCGTATCCGAGTCTTTGCGGAAGAAACGTCGTTCCCACCCACCAAGGAGTTCTAGCAAGGGTTGCCACGTGGATAAAGCAGGTCAGGAAGGCTACTTCCCAGCCGCAGGGGAACACACTATGCCGACGCCCCCCCACACCAGCACAAAACAAAAAAAAAAAATAACAAACCCCCAAACCCCCCGTTTTAAAAAGTTGAGTCAAGGGCCTATTCCGAGCCGATTGTCGGGAGTGGATTAGCTCCGACTGCAGACTAGAAGAGGCGGAAGCAAAAGCTAATGAATTGGGGCACAGGAGGCTAACCAATGGTTCAGCGTCAAGATGTATAACGGCGAGTACAGATCCCTTAACGCCCTGGTCACTCATTTCTATTAACAGAGGTCCGCAACGCGACACACACACTTCCACCGGGGGGGGGGGGGGGGGGGGGGCAGTATTCAGTGAAGGACAGTGAGGAAGAAAACAGGGTGATGAAAGAATGTACATGACATAAACATAAAATAAAAAGCAATATGAGAAAGGAACACACGAGAGCATTCTCTCCATCACCCCATCAAGTCCAACCCACTTCAAAGGGTGTTCACACAATGAATCACTTAAAAAGATTAACCCTAAGATACAAATTGCAAAAATTGTAAAGCTCATTTAAAGCATTAATTCAAGGCCATCTCATACTGTTATGGTTCAAAACATATTTTTACTGCAAAAATATTTTTAAAGAGAAATTAATGATTTTAGAATAAGCCTCACAAATACAATAGTGTTTAACAAGTATCAGTTACTGTTTGACGCTTGGTTTAAATATATTGTAAGGAAACTATTACTTATTTATTTATTCTGATGAACTATGTACTACAGTACAATATCCACATATAACAAATAATAATAATAATAATAATAATAATATTAATAATAACAACAACAATAAATACAATAATAAATAAAGAAAAGAAGTTCAAAGATTTCCAAAACAACATTCATATGAAAATTTATTCCATTTAACAAATTAATTCACAATTTAAAAATGACAACCCTCTTACCCTTCAGAATGAGGAGTTAATTACTGCATCTCCCCCTCCTTTTGTTTTAACATTATACCCATTCACAGATCTCTATTTTCTAATTTTAAAAAAATGTAACCATGTACCTTACCTCCTTGCTTTCATAATATATGTATTTCCAATACCAAAAATCCGAATTTACATGGCCTGGAATTAGATGGTGTTCAGGAACAAAGGGAAAGAATCGCCCACGACCTTCAGCGTCTCTGGAATCACCAGCAAGTACACCAACATATTCGAGACACTTCCCTGAAATGAAATAAAGTTTACATAACCCAAGTTTTACACCAACATATCATTTCCTTTTCTCTGTTTATTACAAATTTTCTTATTCACCATTCTTAGATTAGTTCCAAACAAAACAAAAATAAGCTGAACAAAATATCTGCTAATTTTGGATGATGATGATAACCTATGATGCTGGGTTGATTTTCTGTGAGGAGAATAACTTTTTTATCACTTCAAATTGGCAGTAACCATTGGGATTCAAAACAATTTTTTCATATGGTTTAGTGTTCAGCAATCAGAAAAATTAAAGATAGATAAATAAAATAAAAGATAGATAAAGAAAAGATAGATAAAAATTAAAGATAGATAAAGATAGATAAATAGAATTGTATTTTCTAAGAATTTTCTTAAATGCTGCTACGTATATGTACCTATTTCAACATCCTCTGCTCCATGGGTGTCGGGACGACAACCTCGTTTGTCTGGCAAGGCCTTCTCCACCAATCTTTTAACAGCTTCTCGGCTTAAAACGTAACCTGCTCCTCCACTCATGTAACCTTGCTTTACATATGGTTTAAATCGACATCCAAAATATGTAGGCTCATCTGGTTTATGAGAAGAAAGCATGTAACGAAGGTTTTCTACTATCACATATCTGCAAACAAGAAAAGCAGCTCATTAGTATGAAACTATTAACTCTGGTGGAGTTGTGGGTATCATGTTAGTCTACAAATTCCAATAAGGGCCTTCAATCCTGGCTAGGGTTGATTGATTTTTATGGTGCAAAAATGTATGATATGCATGACAAACATTACTAGGCAAATAAAACAAATCTTTAGAAAATCTCTTGTGTATTCCCAGCAAAAATAACTCCCCTATTAAGTCAAAAGCACCACCACAGACTTCTATTTGCCTAGCATGATGGCAGTGTGCAAAGAAAAAAGTTCAAACTGAATGTCTAAATTGGTGTGCACAGCGTCCCTGGTTATAGCAAAAGCAAATCACCCAAGAACTTCTCGGCAGAACAAACAGCAGCTTCTGCTTGCAGAGCGCTCTCAATATTATCAACAGATCTACTTCATCCTCACCAACTACAATCACAGTCTTACTTGTAGGATCTAAGGACAAAGCTGAGTTCATTATCAGGGTGTCTATCTCCCATTGCTTGTTTGCATGTCATTCCTGTGAAGAAAAACTTTGTAATCAGGGTTACTTTTAAACGTCTTTTGTTATTTGTATTAGCAATAAAATTTTCTTTAGACGTCATCTGAATAATTGCTGTCAAACACAATGTATGCAAATTCTACACCTTTTAACTCGCTAAGCACTTATTGTACCTACTTCTACACCCTCAGGGTAGCCCTAAAAACAATACTGCTTGTAATATTTTGACACATATTCAACATAATTGTCATGGATAGACTACTAGGTTTAAAAATCCTCTGAATTAAAACCAGACATTAGACCTTGTCATTTTAGGCACAAAATAGTGATGATTTAGGCACCTAAAATAGATAACAAAATTATAGAATTTGGAACTATTAGTCATGAAAAGTGATGTTTCAGGCACTTAAAACTGGTTACAAACTGATTAACCAGGCATTTGATAAACATTAGACATGCAAAATAATGTTTCTGACAGCTACAAATGATCACAAAAGGATTGTATTACACACTTTTTATTATTTAGGAAAGTCAAGTATTTTCAGATTCATGATAGTGAGTACAAACACATTATTTTATTCACTTTCATTTATTTTAATTTCATTCTTTCTTTCACACTTTTCATTCTCAATCTGTCAACAGTGCAGCTGCACCAGGACAAAGAGCAATTGCCTTGGCACGTGCTCATCGGAGACAAGCGAGAAACGTTCTTTCTGTTTTGACTTGCAGAGCTCCTTATGTTCAGTATGTTGGGTGAGAGATTCCGGTACGCAGTTGATTGCATATTACTTAGGGAATATTCGTGATTTGGGAAAGAATTTGCCATTCGGTGTAGCAAATTAAAAAAAAAGGCGTAATTAAAAAATAATAATTCTTCAAAATCATTTGGTTTACATAGTTTTAGAAGAAGAAAAAAATACTAAAATTGGCACCAACCGCCCTTTTGGAACATTTTAGGCATTATTGCATGCTTTCGGCAGATCTAATTTTTCATGATTCGTAAACATTTGCAATTATTTTCCACAACCTCCTAAAGCAACTAAATAGGCATTTGTCCTAAAATCCAAGGTCTATTGTTGATGTACTCATTTTGGTCACTGATTGTTTATTATTAATTTAAATTATTTAAAGAGTGTGGACCGGTTTCTTTCCTTAAATCTTTGGTAAATAAGAATAATAAATGCTATTCTAGAATACATGTCAAGTTGGCCGAACTGCTCGGCAACACCACCTCTTTGAAAATGAAGTTGGATTGGAAGGAATCATCATGTACATTCGTACCCCTCATTCAAGCAAGTACTTATTTCTACTCTATCACTCTGAATTTGACAGCTGCAATATCATTACGTAACTCTGTTAAAGCACTTACAGCTCAAATTTCAATCCTAACGTCAGTCAAATATTTGTTCCAATTGACTCGATACGCTTTAAGGGGGAGGAAACTTCTGGACCTTCTTTCCCCTCCTCCTGTTCAGCTCTATGTGCTGTTCAAAATAATGAAATGTATCAGGAATTTTTGACCTGTTTACAAACATGTTGCACAGACATCATTTCCATAAAACATCGCTACACTTCAGGGAAAAGGCCAACACATATCTTTGAGTGGGAGGAATTGCATTGTGACGTATCAAAAGTTCTAAAGTTAAATAGGACTGAGAGAAAAGTATAGACCTAATCCCGCAGCACTCACGCGGCTAAGTGGTTGAACGGAGATTATTATATTATTATTAAGGTTTAAAGTCTCTTCAACCTCTAGGGCCATTGGTGCTCTTGTCGATTTATTTTAAGAACAGTATGCACTGAAACAGTGCCAAACTAAAATATTTAAAAAACAGAGTAAAATGTTTTTAAGAAATGGAGCATGAACTCATTCAATAGTAAAAAAAGAATTTGGCCTGACAGGAGCCAGATAAACACTTTAAAATCTCCAAAGTGAAAGTCATATAAATAGGCATAATCCTCCCTCTCAGATAAGGTTCCATTTTCTTGTAAAATGTGAAGAGCTTGCAGAGAGAGGACTCTTCATTACCTAGCATCTCTCTCAGAAAGACAGCAAAGTAATGCCTTCAGCAACTATCACTTACTGAAGGAGAATGCAGAAGAGCGTCCATCTGTCTCGCAATTATTGCAAGTAGGGGAAGGGTCTCCACGGAGATGTCTCTGGGAGAAACGGCAGTGACCAATATGAAGATGTGTCAGAATAATCTCCTCACATCTAGAGCTACAAAATGAGGGAGACCAAGGCTTTATGGAATCCTTGATACTCATGAGCTTAAAATCTAAGTTTTGCCATTCTGTTCACCAAGCACTGAATATAGTCTTTCAGATATGCTTTAGAGTCTGTTGATGGGACATAAAGAATGTCAATAGACGACTTTCAAGTTGCTGTTTTGGGGCATGGTCAGCTAGCTCACTGCCTATGCTTCGGACAAGAACCAGTACCCAACATACTACTGGGTCAGAGTGGGGAGATAATAGACTGAGAAACATATTACAGTCATAGTCCAATGATCCTAGGGAGAAAGCCAAAAGTGACTGGAGTGCACTTTCAGAATTACTACACATAACTACTCGTCATCACACATTTGATAATTTTTCAGGGCTTGCTATACACCAAATTTCTCAGCAGAGAATATGCTACAGTATAAGTGATTTTTTAATGAATGTGTGGCTGCTCTGCAGTAGAACACGCATGCCACAAAGTCACTTACGGTAGAGAAGTCAGTGTACACGAAGATATGGTCAAGGTAAGTTGTTCTCAACTCACTGAAGTGTTTCAGATTGTTATGGATGCAGTTGATGATTTACGGAGGTTGGAGATGCTCATCTATTAGAATTCAGAGAAATTTGTGAGGAGGGACCAGATGTTTGGAACAGGAGCAGGAAGTTGATCATTTTGATGCTTAAGATAACAATTAAAATGAAAAGTTGTCAGGTGAATACTATAATGAATTCAATATACATTTGACATTCAGAAGGCATTTATATAGACAGCCTACTTGGGACAAAGACATAGGTTGGAAACCATGGAGACAGACAAAATTCACAGAATAATAAAATCAACAACCATAAAAGAGCTAGGCATCTCAGTGCAAGGACGAAAGTTTGAAGTCTTGAAAAATAGATGAAAGATATAAGTGATGGAGTAAAGAAGAAAGTTAAACATCTCGAACCACAGACTAGGGATATACATATTAAATACAAAATAAAGTTGAAGGTCTCAGAATCTAGATGAATATTTGACGTCTTGCAGTGTAAATGAAAAGGTATGTCTTGAAGTATAAACGAAATGTGGAAGTTTTGAAATGTGTGTATCGTGGTGGGTTTTTTTTTCCAGTTACAAATAATGTATAGTTTCTGCAATTGTTTTTATCATTGTAGCCTTCTCCTATACTTTTTTACTTTCATAGCGCCCAGCCACTCCGAACATCACATAACATTTTGGACAGGACTGATCCTACAACCACTCGTCTCTTCTTTTCTCTCTGGCCATCAACATTCAGCATTAGTAGTGTTAGATTTCCTCCCGCTTCCATTGCCGTAATTGCTACCTTCTTTGCATGCAGTCAAAACTCAAGCAATTGTAGATTTCTACTCCTAAATAGATAATGTGTTTCTTCCATTGTATTTCATTGCCTCCCACATCTATTCTGGGCTTCCTAAAGCCCCTTCTCTTGGTGAATAGAACTGCCTCTGCTTTCTCTCACTTAGGTGGTCACCTATAACATTCTTCGGGTAGACTGAGATATTCCGTCTTTCTAATGCCTCTTTTACATCTTTCTTCCTGCCACTATCTTCTCTTGCCATTTTTTTGCCTATTCGACTGCTTTCCTGATAGCGCCAATTGTCGATCTGCCTTTACAAAACCCGTACTGGTTATGAGTGAAGCTGCTCGGAGCTATCATGTGTTTCTCCAAGCGCTGAAGAATCAAGCCTTCTAGCATTTTGCCCATGGTATCCAGAAGGCAGATGAGCCTATACGATGATGCACTATCCACTGGCTTATGTTCCTTCCACTTACAGTCTTTGGCAAGACCTGAATATCTCATACCATCATTGAAAAGTTCCAATAGAAGGTCCAGACACTCTGTGATGACTCCTTTTAATACCTTGTTCGGTATCCCGTCCAACCCAGGAGTCTTGTCTGCTTTCAGGCATTTACCAACTTCTTGCAGTTCATGGGTCGTGAACATGTCTACCTCTACCTCTTTGTCATAGCTGCACATGCAAAGCTGCCATGCAGTGAAATTGTTAAAATGAAATGCAATTTTGTTCTGCAGTGCCATTTAGTGAAGTTACAACACAATTAACGGCACATAAACCTTCTAGGTGAAAAATGCTAGTCACACAGTGACGGATTTTCCGTCACACAGTGACGGAAATTCCAGTCACAGAGTGACGGATTTTACTGCTCTTAAATATACCAAAAATGATCTAGAATGTTTCAAACTAAATTTTAAATGAAGTGAGAATTCTTATGTACAATTCTAACAGCTATTTTAATTTATTACACTCATACTTCATACATTTTTGGGTTTAGTAGCAAACAATTTAGCATCCATTACAAAATACTCACGTATCATCATCAGCCTTCATAAACCAGTCTGCTTTATCCAAGTAATGTTTGTAAACATGTTCAAAAGCAGCTTTTGTTTTTCCCCAAAGATTCTCTCTGCCTTCTTTCACAGGTAATTTCAATGCTGGAAGATCATTGTCTGTAACAAAATTCAAAATAAGTATCCTAAAAATATCACTCAACATATTTTGTTTCTACTGAAGTAATACAAACCTGTTTCACTACTCATAAAAAGTAAAATGTTGCACCTTTTCCCCCATGTTGCTTTTACATGTCGAGCTTTCTTTTTATGATTAGAAGGAGAAGTCATAACCCAACAAAGAACTCTGACTTCTTCAGCCATTTTGCGGGCAACAACATCTTCACCTGTAAAAAAATGAAAGTGGCAGATTCAAGCTTAAAGATTTTTAAAAAGTAATAGCAACAATCTAAGACTGAAAAAAATGAATTACTATTTTCTATCTATAGACTTACTTACATCACTGTCCCTGTCCTGCAAATTTAATTTTCTCACTTTCTTACTTGCTTGCCAATATTTGGATTGAATAGATTATCCCATTGACAATCCTTAAACTATCCTTCCTATTCATTTACTCTTTCTTTCCTTTAACGTTCTCATATTCATAATTTTTTCTCCTATTTGCTACATAGTAATAGTAATTAAATGTGGATATCTCTCTGAGATGGAGACAACAGTGCATAAATATATTTTGTTAAAAATTAATTTAATATAAAAATAAATAAACAAAACCATTCAAAATAAAGAAAATCAAAATGAAACTAACACTGATCATGACAGCCTGTAGGGCATTAAAATTAGTTAAATTAAGTAACGATTAGTTGAATGAAATAATTCTATAATGATGAGAAACAACTGAAGACAAGGTAGTTGTTTTCATGTTTGCTGTTGTCTTCACCATTTTCAAAGCAAAATAACAGAATTTGAAAGTCCTAACAAGGGAGGAAACAAATATATGGGCGTTGAACAACATAGGTGTAAATATCAAGGGCAATGTAGTAGAAGAGTAGTCGTGTGAAAGGGCAGCTTTATTTCTTTCAGCAGACTTCAAACACCTTATCATGGAAAAACCACTGAATACAATACACAAGTTATGTTATTTAACATTTTTAAGTGGTACAAAAATAATAATAATAATAATAATAATAATAATAATAATAATAATAATAATAATAATAATAAAAATAATTGAAATTCCTAAAAAAGGCCAACACTTAAAAGAGAAAGAAAAAAACTAACAACAGTTCAATATTATTGCCAAGGGACGGCTCACTTTCATCAATGGATCGTCAATGATCCTTGCAAATACTTCCATAATGTAGTCAATTCTATGTAACAACATATAATTATAACAAATCACAAATAATGCAACAACACTTGCTTGTATATCAACAAAAATTCAATACCATCCTCACACTAACACACCAAGCAAACGAGCAGAGAGCATGCCTTAGCGTGGAAGGAACCAGGGCAAGATCAGGTAACTAACACAACCATGAACAGATTACTGCAAGACCAAAAAATTGTTCCCTATAAAGTTGAAAAGGACCTATAAAGCATGAATTTTGTTGAATTGGAATAAAAAGAAACCACTGTTTAGACGAAAATGAAGGAAATATGACTGGCCTTGTAAAACATTTAACTATTAAACAAAACAAGGACAACAAACACGAAAATTAAGGTAGATCCACTAAAAAAATGTCTTTCAAATGAAACAAAGCTTGTTTACGAAGGCCTAAAAACTGACTTCTCTTACAATTTGTTGGGTAAAATAAATTTGAAAGTGTGATTTTATTGAAATAATGAAAGAAAATGTATATAAATTTAAGAAATAACATCATGCAACAAAAAAAGTCCACACTTCCTTAATGTTTTCATCTGTTTTCTAGAATTAAAACATGAAGATCATGTAACAATCATATAACGTCTTAATATTATTTGCTTTTTAACATGAAAGAATTTTCTTGATAAATAATACCAGTCATCAATTTAAATAAACTGTTTACCTATTATTGGTTATAGAAGCTCTTCAAAAATGTTGCTGAAGAGTGCAAGAAGTTATAAAATGTATTGTTCACCAATTTCTAGCCATTTTTATGATTAAATCCAGGAAATGCATTAATCAATTTTTACCTAAAAAGTACTCAATTTCTGTAAAATTCTAATTATATAAAAAGTGTAATTCTCTGTATAAATCTCTCTTTGATGACTCGGTACTTAAAATACCAATAGTCAATGTAAATGTTCTACCAATTTAGTGAAAAACTGTTGCTGTTTTTTTCAATTCCATGAAATTACTGTCCTTCATTTAACCTAACCTATTTAGGTAAACAAATTAATGTTTTGTTTTGTAAAAAAGGTTTCTTAAATCAGACAAAAGAACCATTCTCAAATTGATTTCATTCAACGCATGTCACTGTTACATATATATTGTTTCAGAAAATAAATGACTTCTCATGGCTCAGACAGAAGTCGCTCGCCTTTCACAAAGGAGGAACAATTTCAATTCCCATTGATTCCTGGACAATCTCTTGTGAAATTTGTTCCAACAAACCAAGTCTGGCTGCTTCCCAATGGTTATTCCAAACCTTGTGAAGCATCCTAAACCCTACCTCTATCCTAATTCCTTCCCAATTGGAGATGCAATGTATCAATCTAGATGCAACAATTTTTTAAAAAAAATTAATAATCACTTATTAAGACTCTTTAGGGAATGAAGAGCATACTGAAACTTTTCCTTCTCTTAGTTTGGTCACTAGTTCAAAATAATGTTCAACTTCGCAATTTCCAAAATTTCGCATGTTTTAATGAATATTAGTACCATACCATTTTCATGAATGTACTTTCCTCTATTTCAATACAAAGAATTAAAGTCAATCAATTGTCAAAGTTAACAAATGTAATTGTTATTGTATTGTAATTGAGCTTTTATGCCTGTATATTCTTTCATAAAAATTACCAGCCACACAAATATAATATTTATATTCTCTTCATTGAGCTTGGAATACTACTATTGCCTTATAAATTCACATAGTAAGAGACTTGTGTAAAAACCGACTTTTATACCATACACTTACCTATAATTACAATTCACATCTTTGGAATCATATTCATTAGATATCAGTGTAATCACTTACTATTGTGATAGGCCAAAAGAACCCCTCCCCACATTAATATAAATTTTACATTACAGTTTATTTACGTATACAGAATGGTGATACAGGAAAAATGAACAAAATCCTTCGGGAGTGGATATAAATAAACAATAAGAACGGAAAATGTGAATTTATGTTTGGATACCATAGTCTGCATAGAGGGCCAAAGCTCCTTTTAGGTGAAAGTAGCAATGTACATAGAAGGCATAGTCGAGGCTGGACAATTAAGTATCTCCCTTTATGCCACACGCCATCATGTTGAACCGTTGTACGTAGGTATGTTCTAGTTTTTGCATTGGGGACGTGCTCTCAGGCATTGGCGAGATGAGGTAGCAAGGATATAATGCCAAATTTAGGAAGGAAATAGTACAGTTTATTGCTATTTTTGATAATATGTGAGAATAATATTAAATATTAGAACACCAAACATGCAAATAATATTCAACACATGTGATTTAAGAGATAATAGTATAATAGGAAAATTTATAATAGCTATTGTAAGGGTTCTATGATTTATCTATAAATGTTAAAAAGTAGTGCCACAAGGCAACCACGCGTGGTGCATATTAGGGTAGTCTAATTTATATGGACATTTTATTCAGGCATCATTAGATGGACTTATCGAGTATTAGGCAGTGGACTTATTGTGTATTAGCGCAGTTTCAACTCTGGAGACTTTCTTGAAAAGTGCTTTCTTATAAAAGTGAATTGGTAACTATGCAGTTGATAGACTCTAGGATGTTTATAGTGAACGTGAGGGCTGAAGGCCCAAGCCTCGCTGTGACTTTGATCCGGAGCGAAGCGAGAAAACTTACCATTGAAAGTTAATTGGCATTAAATGCGTGGGGACAAAGAGTATGAAGGGCAAGCCATGAAAATCGCCTATCTGTAAGTTTTATTCATTTCTATCAGAGCATGTAGCGTAATTTGAGGGAGGACTTAAGGAGACTAATACGCCCTACTGTCATGCTTCTCTGAGTGTGTACTGTGTACCCCACTTTAACCGAAAATTGCTGTAAGCACAATTTTGCCACAGGGGTGGTAGGGGGAAAGAGGCTAACATGTTCCACTCATTGCAAAGCATTGCCTTATATCAAGTCAAAATGTCTTCAACATTTTTGCTCATCTTGCAAAACGCTTGCAATCCAAACCTTTGTGAGATTCTTCATCAGATTTATGGAATCCAAATGATTCAACTTCTGGTTCTGCCAGGTTTTCCATTTCACCAAAGGAATGTGCATCATGGCGATGTTGACTATCCATTTCTCTGAAAGAAACCCTTTGTAAGTGCAGTTTTGATTACACAAGAATATTAGTAACCAAAATCATGTAATATGTAAAGGGGAAAAAAATTGATGTACTCACCCACTACAAAAAGTTAACTCCCCAAACGACTCAATTTTCAAACAAATGTAAGCAAAAATAAATCCACATAGTATACCCAAAAATAGTGTGGGCAAGAAAGTTTTTCCCACACACTTTCTTAACAATCCTATTGATTTAAAAATTTATTATATTAATACACAATCTAAAATTATTGAAAGGAAGATACATTCATGGATTATAAATTTATCATAAGAAATTACCTGCATCTTTCAGACCCATTGCACTTGCTCAACTCCTTTAATCATATTCTCTCTCTGTACTTCAATGATAGTCTGATGTAATATTCCTTAAGATACAGATAAATTCGTGGTTGATTAGAAATTAATCTAATCCATCAAATAAAAATTTGCTAAAATGATTATACTAGATAAAATATAATATTGACTAGTATCTTGTATTCTGTTCCTATCACAGTGAACAGTAACCACCAACACATTACACTAAAAAAATATAATACACTGGGATTTACTTGTAGCTCATTAAATGCAATATATTTAAAATCCAATACGACATTTTTTATTCACTTCTCTCAGTGGAATGATTTTTCAAACATTTTAGTCACAAAAGGAACTTGGGGCAACGAACTCTGGGCAGTATTATAAAACAATGTCTTACTGAAATAAAGGAACCCTTAAACTTACACATTCCGTGTTAGGAAAAATGCCGCTAAATAACTTAATGAGGGCATGAAAAAACACAATATACTATACAATACGACAGCAACACTATATTTTAGGTTAACTTATAATATATCCGTAATATTCAATATATAACATTTTACACTAACATTCATTTCTTCCTGCCACAAGAACTGCCACATCGACTACTGCAGCACGATTTCAGATGCCGACTGCGCGAGACCCCGAAAAGATAACAACATTCGACACGGAGACAGATAAAATGTAAATTCAAACACTTAACTTCAGAACGTCACATCAAAAGGAAACGAGAAACAAATGAAAGCACGAAAAGAATTAGGGGTAGCCAACATCCGTGATAAAAAAGGGAACGTAAGCAGCTTTGTGATTTCATCAGTCATCATTTTGATAACTAATTTTAAAAAGATGAACCATCAACAGTGCTTCAAACTACGCATATTTTTGAACATAATAAACCGATTGTGCGAAGGCGCGGGCGCGTGCGTTCGAGCGAGTGTGAAGATAGATAATAACATAAATATATTATCAACGGGCAGAAAAGTGTGCATGGGGTGGGCGTGGAACACATGGGAAAATAACACAGCAAAGAGTACGAGCAAAATATAATGCTTAAGATCACATAAACATCATTTTGCACAACGCTTTTGATTGTTCAAAAATGTATTTAAAAAATTAAATACCTGTTATGTAGTCAATACATAAACGTATATTATTTATTGCACTTGACAGGCAAGTGCTTCAAATTATTTCTAATGCAGTTTCTCGATATCTCAAAAAGGCCGAAGATTACAAACGACCTTGCTGACCCAGTATAGAAATGTCCAGAATGAAGTCACTACGTTTGGCGGGAAAGTGTTGGGTGGCAACCTCTGTTGTTCGCGTATGCGATTCCTTGAGAATTCGTAAGTTTTGAATGAATTATGCGGTTGCCGACGTATGTGTGTGTCTTATTACATATGGTATTTACAATAATAGTTTCTTTCTTTCAATTTATTTAGGATCTGGCTGTGAATTTGGACGACAAATTGGTTGTAAAAAAGCACTGTTTTATCATCACAGGATCAATCCATTTAAAGTGGGCCAGAATTTAATATATTGGTCTCTTGACCATCTCGAAAAAAATCATACATAGTACATTAATTCCCTTGTCTTGGCTGTTCAAAATATTTTTTTTTATCAAATTTGGTTTACAAATGGCGGCCATCTTTGTTTTCCGCCATCCGCCATATTTCGCGCTTGAAGACATTTCTCTAAATTACTCAGCGTTGGGTTGTCCTAGCATTCTGGAATAAATGACATTGGATTCAGAATAATCTGGCTTACAAATATCAATATTATTTACCAACCTTGTTTCTGTTTAGGAAATATTTTTGCAACCAAATCTATTGAGCGATCGAATGAAACGATTTCGATTTTCAGAGAATAATTTCTCAAAGAAGGAATACAATCACAGCCGTTATTTTTCTGTATGTTTACATATAAGAGTATAGTTACTTTGTGTAAAGTATCAATGGTAAGCAACTTACCACTTGAAAATTACATCCTCTTAAATATTGGAATTTTTTTTTCTTTTCTTCTTTTTTTCTCCATATTTTGAACTGCAGTATCTCCGTTGTGGGAGCAGATAAAAATCTGAAAATTGCACAGATACTAGATTGTTCAATACTAAACTACATTTAATTTACGTCCTCTGCTGTTCTTTTTATTTTCTCCAGTTCCCATAGTCAATACGTCATGTGTACTGCCTAGAGTCCAGTATACTATTTTTTGTAGGTTGTGGCTTAGTACCCATTTGCCATAATCTTCGTTTATCTTTCTAGTAAAAAATTCAACATCTTTCTGATCTTGCGTCACCAGCATCTTATCACCAGCGAACCATAGGATATAGAGTGTTGTATTATCATTGAGTGGTATTCTTATCCCATCATATTTTCAATTCAATATCTGTAACACCACATTAGCATACATTTTAAAAAGGGTAAGTGTCAAACAAGCATCCTTGCCGTAGTCCTTTTGATATATGAAATGTTTAGGTCATCTGTTTTCAGAATTTCACTTTTCCCTTTTGATCTATATACAATTATGTCACCGCATTCAATAAGATTTTATTAACATTACTTTTATTCATAACTTTATGACTGACACATTATCATACGCCATGCTAAATCGAGGAAAACCATGTGGAGTTCTCTCCCTGATTGTCATTTCTTTTGCATCACCTGGGACATGCAAAACAGGTTATCTAAGAAAGATCGATCTGCCCTAAAACCATTTTGGTGTTCTTCTTCATACTCCTTGTATCACTCTTTTATTAATTATCTTAATATTCTTCCATTTGTCTCACTGAACGTCTTTGTCGCTATCCCTCTATAATTTTCACACATGTCTTTCCTTCCTTTCTTATATAATATAATTTATTTTAGGGTTACATAAGAAATTTTCCAGTCTTATGGTATATCGCCTTTATTTATACACTTCGTCATCATTCGCTCTAGTTTTGGTGTTCCATTCTTTATCAATTTGTTTGGGATTTCTCCTGAACCAGAAGACTTACCGCCTTTCATTTCTTTGGTACTTACTGTAATCTCTCTGGCTGGAGATATCTTTCCCCCTCTGAAGTTTCAAGAAAATCTTATATTTCATTTAATACTTTTCTAAAGTACTCTTCCCATTTGCTTACTTTGTATGCGAACATTTTCCATTTGGGGAGATTTTACATCTTTTATGAACTTCCAAATCTCACTTGTTTTTGTACCACCTAGTATATCCATGTCTACTTCATTTACGCTCCCATTGTAGTTTTTTATTAATTCTCTTATCATGTTTCTAACTGTATTTCGTTAGATTTTACATTCCTCCCTACTTCCTGCTTTCTTGATAGTCAAGTATTTTTCGTACAGTCTCTTCTTCTCCTCTGCTTCCTGCTTCAGGTGTTGAGTAATCCAATTGCTCCTTCATCTCCTTTTCTTATATAAAGGTATTTCTCCAAGTGCTTCTTTAGCCGCTTCATGTAGACTAGCTTTGAGGTGTTCATATATCTCCTTATTTGATTCCACTATGTTTTCATTTAGTAAATTATCAAATCTGTTTTGAAATAAATATCGTACACTTGGTTGTGATAGACCAGCTGTATTATATCAAAACTAGAAATGCTAGGGATTCGAGGCATTGCAGACCAATGGATCAAAACATATTTATCAAACCGTAGACAAATAGTTGCCCTCCAACACACTAAAGAAAACA